CAGTGGCTTAGAAAATCTAGGTGTTTTATCCTCAGTGCTTAAAAAAGTACATGATACATAGTAGATGCTCAGAAAATATTTACTGAATGACTGTTGAGTCCATTTCTGAAGGATGACTAAAGGGTATTGTCCTATTGTCATGATATCCCAATATGATATTTCTCTCAGGATACTCAGGTAAGAGAAAAGTATGAAAAAATAATATAGCCACAGTGTTATGAACTCTAGAGTTAGACTAAAAATGGAGTCCAGATCTCAGCTTCTCTAGCTGAATGACATTAGGCAAGTGATTGTCCACATCTGAGCCTTAGTTCAATCATCAGCACAATGAGAATAAGTGACTCTTCCACTCAGAGTGCGCCAAGAGACACAGGAGCTCATGTTTGCAGGAGCCTTTTATGAAATGTCTCGTTATTTATTAGCACTCAGTAAATTTATGTTATTTTTGTAGTTGTTGCATCTTCTAATGCAGAACTCTTACTACCTATCTTATGAAAACAAAATTGGGGCTTCTTGTACAAAGTGACTTTACCTTTAATAATTTTAAAGAAGCAATATGGTGAAGTGAACAGCAATCCAAAGGTTATCTTAAGGTTGGAGACTGTAATGTAAGAGTTCATAAAAGAAGATAAAGTTGAATTAACTTGTGATAAGAAGTATAAAGAGTACAAGAGAAGTCTACGGGAAGATTGTCATCCATAAGAAGATTCTACAGTTGTTGAGACCAAGATATAGCCATATCTATGCAAAACAAGTGGAAGAACAGAGAAACGTTAGAGACAATCAAGATGAAAAGAGGTTCTTATTTCTGGGAAAGGGTTACAGAGCTGGATCTTGAGGTAGAGGTAGAGACACATTGAGAAGTTGTCTGAGAAATTTGGGGTTGGCCTATAAGCATGAAGAGAGCAAGAGAAAAGAAGAAACAGCACTGTAAGATGCTCATGCTCAGGTACAGTAAATGTTTGAAATGCTCTCTACTAGGTTGAGGTTTGAGCTATTGCATATTCATATTAAGAACCTAGTAAAAATGATAACCTGGCTTCTATAATATTAAAAAACAAGAAATAATTTTTCATGGCCTTTGAGATTTCTCTTATCCAATTCATCCATATGAGAAGTGAAGAGAGAACAGTAGCTTCTCAAGACACCAAGCCCTCTTGGAAGTCTTTCTGCAGAATTCAATAGCATAAAAGTTAACAGTTCTTTCCCCAAGGGAAGATGAGCTTCCACCAATGTGCTGCACCTTTTTCAAAGGAGTGTCTTTACTGGAAATGCCATGTCCATGTGAAGGCAGAATTTCTGCTGGGAATACTACATTTCCCCACCCTTGCCATCCTTCAGTTTTACTCAATTCTTTTAGTTGTAGATGGACAGAATGCCTTTATTTTATTGCTTATTTTTATGTGGTGCTAAGGCTCGAACCCAGTGCCTCATGCATGCTAGGCAAGTGCTCTGCCACTGAGCTACAGCCCCATTCCCTTACTCAGTTCTTAAACATGCATGTAATGTGGGCACAGAAGGAGGTCATCTGGCAATATAAATATTTTCTTTCATCCTCAATGGGACCCCCCCACCTTACATACACCCACAAACACCCATGCATACCCACACAATTTCACATTTGGGACCCTTTTGAGATCCATAGGCCTGCAATGAGAAGGAACACAAAAGGCATTATGAGATCTTATTAAAAAAGCATTAGAAGAAAGTACCTCCTGCATAAATAAGGTTGCAGTGGGAAACACAGATGGATTGATCAAGCCCAGAGGCAGAGCAGAGTGAGTGGAACAGAACCTAGGAGCAGGGCTGACCATCTTTGCATACCAGGCTAGAGAGCAAGACAATAAAAGACACCTCAAATGGAAAAGTGTCTTGGCTGTAAGAGGGGAAATAAACAGACTCTCCCCAAATCTAGCCTCTGTTGATACACATTCCCTCTACTTTGCCAAGTTTTTATTCCTCAAGATAAACCTGAAGGCCAAGCTGCCAGAGACGAATTACAAAGCCCAACTCTCTGCTCAAGTAGCATTTGATAATGCCAAGCAGTTGGGGCCCAATAAAATCACCACTTCTGCAAATCAGATGAACCAGATCTACACATGCATAACCCTGCTCTGCTGCCCTTGGCAAAAGGAGGAGAGAGCAGGAAGGAAACTGGGCAATGAAAATATGGGACTAGGTAACATTTTTATTTCTTATCGTAACCCTCTAGAGTACTGAGTGACTAACTAAGACAGAGTCATTTCTCATTTCTGGTTATGGTATAGAGAGAAGACCAGCATGACTTTGTTGAAAATTCTGATATATGAAATTTCATTTTTAAAGAACAGGCAGTTTGGTCATATTTAAGTTTCTAACAGCTGCTTGAACATATGCAAAAGTAATATGGAGTTTCCTGGTAAGCAGCCCTTATGGAGCTGGTATAGCAAATAGCTAGATATAATTTGGAACTAACATAGTGTCATTGGGAGTTTGAGTGCCCCAATAGCTCCTGCCTAACTCTTTTTTTGAGGATTGACAGTGCATAAGAAATTGTCCTAGCTGCTGTTGATTGCCCAGAATGTAGCTCGTTTTCCTAAATAGTTCAAAGTATTCCTCTCAGCAACTTGTTTAAACCATTTATTTGTTTAACAAACTTGTAGTTCCAAAAGAGTACAAATTTAGCCCAACTCTGAATTATCCCAGATGCCAAATCAGCAGGTACAAACTAATGAAGTCTGACTGTGTCCAAAGCAAAGGCAAAGCGTGTGTCTTCTATTGATCGAAGCCCAACCTCTTTGATTTGGCACATTTGGAGCTGTAGTTACTGAAAGAATTTTGAGAGTCATACAGATTTGAGTAGGAAACCCAACACTCTGTCATCGTAAACCATTCATTTTGTCCGCACCTTTGTTTTCTCATCCATAAAAGTTCCTAAGACAGGTTGATAGCAAGTGTTGAAGTTTGTCTATGAAGGACTGGGATAGTGCTTGATAGTATTGTTTCACTCATCTGATTCAAAATATTCACTTGGTAATACAATAGTTCCAAGTTAAGTAGGTTCAGAGATGCTTACTTATCCATTTATGCCCCGTGCACCTGTCTTGGGTAGCTTTTAATCTGTCTCCCCTCCCCCATCCTCCAAATGTGGCTCATAAGAACTCTCTCTCTTGGTTATTGAGAGCATTAAGTGAGATGCTGCACATGCAGAGATGAAAAGCACAACTCAACACATTTCAGTTCTTTTCTTCACTGATCTCCATTATTTCTGGATTGGGATTATTTTCTGCAGGTTAAAATCTATGTTTGATCAGTCCAGACCACCTGAAAATTCAGTCACAGTGGATAACTTGTTATTGCACAATTTTGACAATTGGTCAATTATTACCTCTTTCTTAACATATAGAAGAAAGAAAATAGTTATCTTCTCAGAGTTAAACAATTGATAAGAACTGCTAATGGTGAGAAAAAAAACATTATAATGGACAGGGATCAATTAGTGATTTAGAAAAACAATGTTTTCTTAAGTTTTAAGGTTTTTCTCAAATGTACACTGCATTTGGTGAATTTAAAAAGATCTTATACCAAAAAAATCACAACAGTTATTATATTAGAATCTTTGACTCTTCTCAGTTGCCCAAGGCTGCAGATGGCTCAGTAATTTGGTCATTAAGAGCACAAGCTCTGAAGCCATTGAGTTCTGGGTAAAAATTCTAGGTACTTACTGTGTGTCCTTAGTGTAACTTGGGAAAGTCCCGTTATCTGGATAAGCCTGAGATCTCATATGTGGAATAGAAAATAGAGTGATTTTTTCCCCCAGGAGGACTGTTAACAGAATTAAATGAGATACAATATTTAAGACTCTGGGTGCTAGTCTAGCTTACAATAAAAGTAGCGTTTCTTTATTGAGCACTTGGAAAGTAACAGAACTGAGTGCAACCAGAGTTTATCTCCTGGCAACTAAAGGCTGCTGCCTACCTACCTTAGAGTAATAATAAGCTTCTGTCAAACTTGTATTATGATTCCTATACAACAAGGGGCTGATCTGCTGCTTTCTGTCCAACTATCTGGGGAGTCATACCTAAGCATCATCTGCCCACCTCCATTCTCACCCTGTGTTTCTTCCAAGACAAATGCTCTTGGCTGAAATTTGACAGCTTGCTTAAAAAAAAAAAACGTAAACAAAGATGTCTCTTCTTCTCAAATTGATGTATTTTTCAGCCATGTCCATTTTTCCCAGGTAGCAGGGATAAAGGGAATGTTCTTGGCTAACAAGAAGATTGACAACCAAGTGAAGACCTTCATCACATACAACAAAGGCAGAGACTGGCGTTTGCTGCAGGCACCAGACACAGATCTCAGAGGGGACCCTGTGCATTGCTTGCTGGTGAGTCTTCTTGGTGGAGTAGAGCACCCCCACAGAGAAGGCCTGGAAGTGCCTTTAATAAGAGGATGAGGCTAGTTCTGGGATTTTTGTTCAGTTGATGAACAAAATGGGCAGGAAAGGGCGTGAAGGCAGAGTTTGCAGAAAAGAATCGCAGGGCTGCCTTTGTGATGGGCCAAGGAAATAAGAGCATATGATCAGTCTTGTGCTCATCACCAGGATCTTTATTTCCCCCAGTTTTTTTTTTGTTTGTTTGTTTGGGGGATTTTTGTTTGTTTGTTTCTTTTTGAATTGAACCTAGGGTCTCATGCATGCTAAAGTGCACCCTTCTTCTAATGGACATTTACGGCCCTATAAGCAGAGTCCTGACCAGGACCTCAACTGGTAGTTTCAGGCAGAATATAATCATATTCATCTTTCATGAGGGTGTCCCATAAATATTCTTACTTTCTTGTAAAAAATCCCATTACAGTTCTAATGAGGAATACATTTAGCTGCAAAACTGATGAATTGAATGCAGAATTGTGTGATTCCCGTGGTAACGTTTGCTTGCATTTTGAGAGAAGTTTATGCCTCACAAAAAGGGTTAAGTATTACCAATTTAAACCTGTTTATTTTCTTTATATTATGTTCCACTAATTTGTCTTAGTCTATAAAGCTTGGGCTGAGAGAAGCGATGGCCTGTGGAAAAATATGACCCATTGTGTTTTTCTAAACAATATTTCACTGTTGAAAAAACACAATCATGTTTTTTCTTGTCTGTGTTGTCTATGGCTGCTTTCACTCTACAAAGGCAGAATCAAGTCGTCCTGACAGAATATGGCCAACAAAGCCTAAGATATTTACTTTATAGCCCACTGAAAAACAATTTCTGACCCCTGCTTGAACTATGCTTTTCTTTTAATTATCTTACCTTTGGGCACAGTGTAAATTTTTTATATATTTAATGATATCATGGTATCCAAGAGAAGGATCAAAGATGGTTCTTGCCTTCAAGGAGTGTTCAGTCAATACTTCTCTATTTGAGTGAGGTTAAGTTAATAAATGAAAGATCATAGGGTCACATCTTATCACTCTTAGTAGCTCTGAGGCCTGCTCCATACTTGACGCACCAAGAGATACTCAGTGAATGTAAGAGGAAGAAAGAGATGAATTGTGGATTAAAGTCTCATGAAATTAATATGATTTGTTTCTGTAAAATAGTTCAGAAGTTATGTTTAAGTGAAGGAAAAGGAAAGGCAGTATATAAACCTCTAGGTTTATATAAGAAGACCACTTAGTTTTAACAGGAAGGGCTTGGTGCATGGTGCGTGTATATTCAGCCTGTCATCTTCCTGCCCGTCTATCCTTGTTCACACTCTGCACAAACCTGACTTTGATGTTATTCTCCCTCGGCTTGCTTCTTTCATCCTACAAAGCCTGGATGGTCACTTAGCAGGTTCATCCTGCACAGCAGTAGGTGGGTCACCCTCCTACTCGAGAAGACGCCAGCAGCTAGAGCTTGACCTTATTAGTTGCAGAGGATATCACAGTTGTCACTGTGCATCAGGGAAGCAGTCTAAAATTCAGCCTCCCACTCAGCTTCCATCCTTATTACTGGCAACTGGGAGAAAAACAGCCATTTGTTATAGTGAATGCACAAAGCTGTTGACAGACTAAGTAAATATAATAGCGATTTATTGAATGCCTATACCATGCAAGGCACAGTCACGTGGCATGAAAACAAACAAACAACAGTAACAAAAACCCCCAAACAAGTCCATCTTCCTAGCTAAGCTATTCTAAGTTGGAATATTGTGATATTTATTCAAAGATGCATTGAATGTTCCAGTAACTTAATACGGTCTTCCATTCCCACCAGGTACTTTGCAGAGAATGAGATGAGCCTATGAGAGAGAATAAACCATGTGACATGGTTTATAGGCTCTTCAGCCTCATAAATGGGTCATTTAAAATGGCTCTTAGAAGGCTGGGGCTGTAGCTCAGTGGTAAAGTGCTTGCCTAGCATGTGTGAGGTACTGGGTTTGATCCTCAGCACTATATAAAATAAATGAAGATACTGTGTGTTCATCTACAACTAAAAACATATTAAAAAATAGAATGACTCTTAGGTTTTTAGCTCAGTGGTAGAACACCTTCCTGGTATGTACAAAGCACCTCTGGGTTTTATTTTCAGCACTATAAAAAATAAATTAATTAATACTAGTAATAATAAAATAACAAAAGTGATTCAAACCCAACAGCAAAGTGTTCCCTGCTTCACCCCAACCCAGAATCATGAAGTCATATTGCTGTGCCTCCAAAATAAACTTACACTATTAGTTCCTTCCCTACCCCTGCTGGGACCATCCTAATCCAAGCCACAAGCATGTGTCACCAGACCCACAGTGACCCACAGTAACTTTCTATCCCCATTTCTATCTGACAATCCATTCTCCACACAATAGACAAAGCAAACTTTTTATTTTAAAATCAACTTTATTGAAGCAAAACAGAGAGATTAAAAACAACTACTTTAAGGGAATACTTTGATGAAGTTTGACAAATGTATATACCTACTATCAAAATCAAGGTGGGATATTTCCATCACCCTAAAAATCCATCTGGGCTCTTTTGCAATTAGAATCACACTCCCACCCCTAGAAAACCAACTCTTCTTCCTTATATTAAAATATATTTATCTTTTCTCAAATTTCATAAAATGTTATCAACTTAAATTTTTGAAAACAATGTTTTTCTTATGTTAGGATATGATGTTTTCTGGAATACTTTGCAGACATTTTGTCACGTTTTTATAGAATATGTGGTTCATTTTTAACTAAAGTTTGAATGCTACTGTGTTCTCTCCTAAAGAAACCTTACCTTCTATCTTAATTGTTGAAATGGTTTCTCTGGAAAAGGGAGCAGCAGAGAAATGGAAATGCATTTGCTGGCTCTGAAAATAAATAGTGAGACAGCAAATAAGAAAGGTCAAGTTTGAGGGCCAAAGAAAAGGGCAGGCCTGCTGACGGGATCAACTTGGGAAAGGGCAAAGATTGATTTCTTTGTGGAGAGTTTTCAGAGCATGAACCAAGATCCACTTCAATGAAGTACCCATCAGTGCCCAAGACTGAGCCAGGTAAGGGTCCAAGCTGGCACAGGCTCTTTCCTACTGTGTTGGCAAACATGGACGTGACACTGATAAAGGAGCCATTCTCAACAAATGGACTGCCCTTTTTTTCTATCTGCTCTCCAGTCACTGACACTTAAATTGAAAGGAAAGAGTAGGTGATTTTCTTAAGCCCCTGGTACACACAATTTTGTTACCAGAGCAATGAGAAAAATGGTAAGGTTTTTACCAATAATGACTTTTCCAGTCTTTTATCAGCAGAGAAAAATAAGCACGGCATGTTCGAATAGACATGAAAAGATGTTCCCTATCTGGAGCATCAACTTTGAAGTTCTTAGCAGCTAGGTAAGATGTATGACGAGGTTATAGAGATACTTCTCTTGCTCATTTGTTTTCAGAATTTCCTTGCTTTTCTATAAGCCTGTGAGAGAGAGAAGGGGGGAGAATATTTTGGAAGAACTGAGGGAAAGAAGTGGGAGTGGAGGTTGTTGTTTTGTTTTGTTTATTTTACCTATCTATCATTTAGGGAGATTTTCTTTCCCTATGAAAAGAGTCTTTATTTACCCTTCTGTTTCTCCATAGTATAAGGCTGGTATTTCTTAGAATTTACTCTATATGGAATTTTAAATGCTTAATATATATTAGATTACTTCATCCACACAATTACCCAATGACAACATGCCACAGTCCCACTGCAGCAGAATAACCGGGGGGTGATGAATAACTTCTGTAGATTGATACAGCAGGAGAGGGAGCTGTTTATTGTAGGACAACAGAGGTATTTATACATTTTGCTTATCTTATCTTAATTAGCATAAACTAGATACATAAGTCAACCAATAAGGAATCTCCACACTTAATGGCTCGCTTTTGTTACTTCTCAAACCATTCCCTCTGGCATTTTGCCAGGCACCATCCAGACTTGTTTACAAACTCTAACATTTCTCTGGCAAAATACCAGGTGTTATTTTGACTTGTTTACAGACCTTAACAACAACAGTTATAAATGTATTTTACATATGAGAAAGCCCAGTGACAGAGAGATGGCATAATATACTCAATATCATACAGCTAATCAGTGGTGATTCAAACCCAAGGTTGCCATTAGACACTCTGACAGCACTGGACTCAGATAGGACTAGACTTGTTCCTACTCCAACTCCCACCCCCAGTCATGTTGCTTTAGTAAATTTATTATCTAAGACAATTGTCACGTCATTTGCTCTGCATAGAATATGTGAGAAAAACTTAGGAAAACTCATGTGCAGGCTGAACAATAGACTGGCTCATGGCCTTCTTTCCTTTGGACCTTAAAATACCAGCATATCAATTTGTTCTTATTTCCAAATGTGCAAGAAAACAAATTATGCTAATCTTAAACATTTAAAGCAATTAATGGAAAAATCCACAAAATTTAAAGAATAATAGACTTGGCATATTCATATTTATTAGTCTACTTTTCATCTCAGTAGCCAAAATGCCTGACAAGAACAACTTGGGTTAGGAAAGATTTATTTTGGCTCATGCTTTCAAAGAATGCAGTTGATAGCTGGCTGGGTCCAAGGAAGCAGGCAGCATCGTAATGGAAAGTCATGACAAAAAAAATCTGCAGGGTAGCCAGGAAGGAGAAAGGGAATGAGAGAGGGCTGGGGGAGAGGGAGGAAAAGGACAGGGACAAATAGAGTCCTTAAGGTCATGCCCCCAGCAACCCAGTGACCTACTTCCTATATGCCCACACCACCTGCTTATAGTTATCAATCAGTAGTATGTTCTGCTGTCAGTGGATTAATCCAGCTAATGGGTTGTTCCACTGATGAATCATTGGCCTAATCATTGCCTAAAACCCCATATCTGCACCTTGCTACATTGAGGATCAGGCTTTTAACACATGAGCTTTTGAGAGACATTCTATATCTAACCATAATATCATGCAAGACTTCCTGGATCCATGATATAGAAGACAATGTGTAGGTCATAGATGGTTTTTGGCAGAAAGAGAGTACATATGAGAAATTATACCCCATTTGCTTCAAATGTCTGATATGTCAAGATCATTGTATTATCATGAAAAACTAATAAAAAAAGAACTAAATGACCAAAAAAAAGAGAGAGAGAGAGTACATAAGAGCTACAGAGATGTCTGAAGAATGGTGTGTGTGAGTGTGTTTTGGGTTGGGTGTTGGTTTTTATACAAGAGAAAAACTTAATACTTATGTTTTGAAAAACACACACTCAGAATTTAATTTACATGAGAAAAAAACAATAATTCACCCTCAGGA